ACCCTAAAAACTAAACCCTAAAAACTAAACCCTAAACCCTAAACCTCCTGAACTGTTGCCGCCGGCCCAACCCTGGGCACGCCACGGCCAGTCGCGCCCATATGCTCCACACACATTTGTCAAGCTCGGACCGAGACCGATACACGACTGCCCTGTGCAAAATCAACCTGGTGCCATGTTTATACACAGGCGCTCATGCAAGGGAGCGCAGAGCCTGGAAGCAGGATGCCGCATGGGCGCGGCCCAGGCAAGCTCCGACCCAGACTTCAAGGTCGCCAGGGGATATACGGTGAGCGAGTCAAAGCGCTCAGTCCCCACGGCAATGAATTGGCTGCCGGCTGGCTTGCCAGGGAGTTGGTGCCCTAGATGGCGCACCACACACCCCGGAAGCCCAAAGCAACCCTTGCCCCCCGAACCCCTGGCAGGTCACGAATCGCCACGGGCCTCGATTTATTCCCGACAAGCACCCTGCAGCCCCCTACTGGCCAGGGCGCGACGTCATCAGGCCGACCGTCGACAAGGTGGCAGAACAGGTGGCCAAGGCAGCGGCGGCAAAGGAGACCGCGCGGACGGCCGAAGAGGCGGCGCTTGAGGAGCGCAAGGCGGCCAAGGGGCCGGCCGCAGAAATGCTGGACGGAACTACAGCGCAGCCAACGAGGCCGGTGCCACCTGCGCCAAGGGCGGTAACGAGGGCACCAAAGGAGCTGCTGGCCGCGGCGGCCGCGGCGGCGGCTGCGGCTGCGGACGTTAGGCAGACGCGCGGGCGGGCGGCGGGCCCCTGGGGGCTGCTACCGTAATAGGGACGAGCTGGCGGCACGGCCGATAGCTGATGAGCCAAAGCCCCAATTTCGGCGGTGCCGCGCCCTGGACTGCAGCCGAGGTAGCAGAGGGCGGCAGGCGGGTTGCGCTTGCAGAAGTTGAGGATGCAGGCCGTGAACGCGCAGCATTGGTATGCCTGCACTCATTATGAGGCCATCTTGCTTAGGATTCCATACATGTGCTTGGCATGCAGTAATCATGGTGACTGAAGCTGGCTTGATCCACCTTAGGGGCTGGCTGGTGCCAGCTGGTGCCACAGCACAACAGCAGGCGCCAAGTTCTGAAGTGTGCACTGCTTGCTTAACCCAGCATGGTGTCACTTGACCAGTGTAAGTAGTGACACCTGATCACGTGGGTGCTGATTTGTGGCGTCATCATGCATCCAAGGGGGTGATCAACCCTGCCCCGCCCAACTAGCCCTGAGGCTACTACGTACCTACGTAGTAGTCTCCGAACCGGCGTGACGGCACACTACAGTATCACATAAAAAAGGTGTTGTGATTGCAGCATCGGATCGAGCAGCACACCGACACCTGTTGAATTTCGCCTCTCAGAGCTGCTTTCTTGATCAATTTGCTCCTGTTGGAAGGAGACTTCTTACCTCTCCTGCTAAGGGGGTGCTTGTCCTTGCTCTCATTACAGACGAGGCCGCGCTCGCGTGCTCTTCTGACCTTTGACGGCGTTGCCCCCCATTGGAGAGTCAGGGTTCCCCCAGTCGACAGGGTTTTGCCTCGCTGCTGGCAAAGCGTGACATCATGTGATGTAGAGCTGCATTACAATGTGCTATGGATCAAAACCCCATGCAAAGCACATCGATGTCATCCCTTGCCACAGGCTAGATGGAAACGTTCGAGGCTGGACCAAGTTGCACAAGCAGCACGATTTGCAGTGCTGTTGAATTTTGTAATTGCAGTGCAACCAAATACTTGCATCTTTGGTGCAGATGCAGATTTCAAGAAGCAGGGACGCAAGGTGCACCAAAGCAAAGGGACAATGACATGCAAGCATGGCCAGCTGTGTTTTTGCCAGATCAGTCGTCTGCCCCAGCCCACTGGAAGAAGTCACATGGCTTGCGCCCCTCTCTGGCTACCAACCGCCAGCGACCGCAGGACCAGAACGAGCGGCCGTGGTTAGCGCCCGGCTTTTTTGTGACGCGCGCCGCTGCCTTGACACCACATTTGCAGATGCCAAGCCACTTGCCAGCCTGGTCGTACACCGTCACAGCCCCCGACGCCGCCGAGCGTAGTGGCGCAAGCAGTGACTGCCGCTGGCGAGGGGCATCGCCACCGCTTGCCGCGGCAGCAGCACCGCTGCTGTTGCCGCCAAGGCCAGCGTGATGTGTGGCGCCTTGCTGCTGCTGGGGCTGCACAGCTGGAGCGTGGGGCGCATCTGCACCATACGACCCAGTGATCTCGAACCGCACGCCGCGGGTCATGAGGTGCGCCGCCAGCCGGGCCTCGTTGCGAGCGTCATCCAGCCCGCTGTGCGCACGGCCCTCCCATTCCAGTCCAGCAGCCTGTACACAGGCACGCAGGTTGCCGTTGCGCTTGTGGTGGCGGTTGTACGCGGCCTTGAGGTCGACCCAGGCCAACAGGTATGGCTCCACCCTCAGCCCCCGCCACTTGCACTCCATGGCCATGGCAACCTGCATTGGTTTCAGATGCAGCGCACGAATACAGTTGTGAATTATGATATTAACTGTCATGCATTGCCATCCAGGATCAGCGGCGTTCCAAAACGGTACGTGTCTACTGCATGGAACATCAACCCCCTTCGCAGTGCTGTAAGGCCTTGTGACAGCCCAACAACATCTTACTTCACCCCGCTTACCTCTAGGTCCCAGGTGGTCCAGGTGGCCGCAAGACAACTGTGCAGCGGGATGCCGGTACCCTTGAGCCAGGTGTCAAAAGAGGACAGGGCCGTGGCTAGCGGAGGGGCGGCATCAACCTGTGCCTGAGTGATGCCGGTGAGAGACACACAAAACGCGTCGAGGCAGGGATGCTCGGTCGGGCGGACCTGCAATGTGGCAGAGAGGAAACAAAGGAGACTTTGAAGGGCCAGCGGTGGTCCAGCGGAGCGTTGGAGGGTTTGGCGCTGCCAGTTGCGTGCAAAACACGATTACGTCTGCACCGCTGTCAACTCAGAGCACGCCTGCCTGCGGGTGCTCACATAAGACTGGTACTCTCCCACCGGCTGTGCGGTGACTGTGTCGAGCACGACGCAACTGAACTCGATAATCTCAACCGGACTCAGGGTGCGCGCCTTGTTGCAGGTCGCCTTGAGGCGGGATAAGGTGGGTCGGTTTAAGGGACAACGCACTCAAGCCAAACAAATGATCACCGCCATCATGCGCAAGTCAGACTTCAGGTTGACCGCAGCATTCTGCAGATCGTATGAGACACACACGTGTATCACATGATAAGATGATATCGATCGGCAAGCCAGACGCGCTGCTGCTGATTGCACCGGCCCTGCACACCTCAAGGTCGATGACGAGCAGGTGGCTGAACTGCTGCTTGGCAGGGCGTGGCGGCCCCGAAAGCGCACGCATGAACGCCACCCTTGCCTCCTGTTGCTCCTTGAGCCGCTCTTCCCCCGCCTTGGACCGTTGCTGTTCGTGCCCATGGTCGTCGTGTGGCTGGTCGCGCTGGTCGCGCTGGTGCTGCTGCTGCTGCTCGACCGCCATGCGCTTTGCAGCAGACTCTTCAGCAGCCGCAGTGCCGGCCTTTCGTTTTGGTGTGCCATCGCTAGAGGATCGGCGCAGCAGCACGTCGAAAGCATTTCGCTGCGGAGGTGTTCCCATACCGTATTCGCGCTGTCCGAGCGATCTAACCAGCAAGGCTATAACGTGAAATAGACAGGAATGTCCCAAGTGACTGCTGTGTGAGATGCAATATTATTATGTAGCCACGGCGACAAGGGTCGGATCCCATCAGCTCGTCTGCAAACATGATGATGCAAACTTGCCGGATGCAGGCGGCATGCAGTACTGGTAGTTTCGCACGTTTAGAGCAGGCGGCCCAGTACTGGTGCCACCCAGGCATGCCTTCCGCAGCAAGTTACATGACAATGCATGAGCAGCAGTGCCAGCTCCGTGGTAGGCACCCAATCCGGGTGCCCATATGTGACGTGCTGCGGCTAGTCACGTCAGCCATCGACGGATGAAGGTGACCTCGTGAGACCTAATCGGCCTGCTTCTGCTTGCTGCCGCTCTTGCCCTTGCTCATAAAGCCCTTTGCGTAGAGCGCCAGCATCACGACGGCTGCGCTGGCCCACTGGGCGGGTGTCAGGGCGCTGCGGAAGACGATCGCGCTCAGGGCAATGGACAGGACCTGGCGCGTAGTCATGACTGTGGCCAGGGTCAAGGCGCCAAAGCTCTTGATGATGAAGCTGATGCAGAGGCTGCCTGGGCGGGGGCACAACATCGGTGGAAGGGCAGCCAGAAAGAGGGTGCTTGATGAAGGCATCGATTGGGCAGGGCTTAGAATTTTCCATCATTCCTGCGTAGCACGACGGCAGGCCCGTTGCAACCAAAGATCGTCTTGTGGGTCGGCTCACCACAGGTCGCCGCCAGAGACAGCGAGAGTATATGGAAGATTGCCTCAGGGTGGTTGGTCAGGAAACGCAAGGTGCCTGCGAGCTGGCCGCTGGAGATGAGGCCTGGGGTTGAGGGGGTCGCAGTTTCGTTTTGTCAGAGCAGTGTTGTGTGTTGTTGAGCACCTCCCAAACCAAGGGTGCGTTGTGCCCCACCCTCCGCTGTGTCTACCCCTTGGTCATGGCCTCTGCACCTTGGTCATTGCTGCGCCACCTGGCCTGTGATACAGTCACTTGAAAACAAAAACAAACCAAGGCCAGCCAGCATGTTGCTCACCAAAGGAGCTCAAGGCAATCGAGCACAGTCCCGTGTAGAGCACCTGGTTGAGCGAGCTCATTTCGTAGCCGGAAAACAGCCGCTGCTGGAATGTGGAGGTGTAGCCGTCTGCCAGCAAATAGCCCGCCATCAGGGCCAGACCCAGGCCGCTGACATCCGCGCCGCGTGCGACCCTGCGAGCACCAGGTGCGCAGGGGGACATTTGACAAGGTTGCGCTCGCACCAGCAGGCAGAACACGGCACAACTGAGCGCCATCATACAGCCCAATCACCCAGTAGCATGCCCATCGATTGCAACTGTTGGGCTTCACCTGCTCGCAGTGGGCCCCAGCGTGAAGAACGCAAAGCAGCCACCAGTGATGGCCACCGCGAGGGCTGCATCCCGCCAGGTGTAGCGTTTGCGCAGCATGACGGCGCCCCACAGCATCACTGGGAACATCTAGGAGCAGGTCGGGGCAGGTTGAAGGCGGTTTTGCAGCCCCTTTCATATCATGCTCTCCTGATATGGGCAAGCTGTGGTGTTGTGACTCTCAACCACCTCATGCCATGCACAAGCAGCGACGCCGTGCATTTCGCAGTCCCACCTTGGCGCATTTGCCCAGTGTGGCCACAGAAAAGCTGACGTACTTGAGGGCCTCATACCTTGAACAAAAAGGGCAAGGTGCAGCAGACATTGTGGGGAGCGCCATGCGAAAAGCATGGGGTAGGGCACGAGGGAGCAGTTTGCAATTGTGCTGGATCATGCCGGTGCAACAAACCGTTTCACTTGACAAGCATGCCATCCGCATTACGCTGCCTCCATGCTATATTCTCAACACCACAGCACGACGTATGCATGCCGTGGATTGCATCAGGTGGTATCCGAGCCGCTTACTGGCAAGTACTGGCAATCACGTTTGACAACGACACAGTGGCGTAGCTCAGCAGAGGCGCCACAGGCCGCAGCTGGCTGTACATTCCACGAGCCTGCAAGCCATGTGAGTTCAGCATTTTGCTCAAGAGGTGAAGCAGCATCAAATCAAGGTCACCGCTGCTGACTGCTTTGCCTGTACTCTTGAATCACACTGCCCACCAGCATGCTACGATGGCCAGCCCGCCCCAACTCAAACAGCCCAGCCACACGTTGCGCACCAGGAGCGTGCCTGCCGCCACCAGCACCCCTACGAGCCGGTTGCAGCTGACAAGGAAGAGGCTGTATCGAAACACCTCCCGATTGTCGCCTGTGCCAAATGGCATCGTCATGATGCGCTCCTGCGGTGGAGGGGCCCACAGAACCCCGGCAGGTGGGTTTGGCTCGAGGGCGGTGCGCAGGAGCACGCGAGCACACCCTGCACGTGCCCTCAGGCGCACGCACACACACAACACACAAGCACACACATACATATATGCGCACGCACGCACACGTGCACGCGCATGCGTGCGCGCACGCACGCACACAAACGCGCCGCTGCAGCCTGGAACCGTCCTTTGAGCCAAGGTCAGTGTTACCGGCACAACAACACACCTGCAGGACTCCGTAGGCCACCAGAGACCCGACCACGCCCAGTATTGCCGCCGCCCGCACTGCCACCTCCCAGGCGCGCATCCGCCCCAAAGGTACTTTTGGCTTGCTGCGGCCTGGGCTGTCTCGATCCTCGCCTCCACTGTCGCTGCTGGGGACCTGCCCGGCTGAGCCGCTCGCATGGCAGACGTGTGCGCTCCGGTGGCTGACCCAAGGCAATGTTTGCCTCTTCAGCGCACAGTAGCAAGCACAACGCCTGGCTGATGGCGGTTGCTGCTGCTGCTGCTGCTGTTGCTGCTGCTGCTGCCGCTGCCGCTGCTGCACGAACTGCCGCTGTTCATGTAGCTGTGCAGGCTGTGCAATGTACGCCGATGCTGAAAACACACCATGCGAGCCACCGTGACGGCAGCTCGCCTGAGGCGGGCGAAGCATGGCAGTCCTGGTCGAAGGCGCAACCACCCAGCCGGTTCGTATCCCCCCTGCCATTAGTGCACCTGACTGGCCTTGCAGCCCATGCATGGGACCACGTTGCTGCACGGATGCAGGCTGGCGGCTGATCGGTTGAATAGGATAAGCTTCGCGAGGCCCGCACACCCCTTGCGTGTTGCGCACAGTGCACTGCGGCACCTCGATCGAGTACTACCGGCGGGGCGCCAGGTCTCAGGTGTGTGAGGCCGCCTGAAAAGCTCTAAATGTTGTGCGTGTGCTCAGCAAAATCGTCTGGCACGATCCGATGCGCCATCGGACGGGCCGAGTTTGAATGATGATGTGAGGGTGGCGTACTCATGAAACAGCCCCGCGGGTCGCATTCCAATGTTTCGAATCGGAGGGAATACATGACACACATCCGACATTCGACGGGCTTATAGGTTCTGGATTTCCCCGCTTCGTCTTTGCACGTTTCTCCTGGCACTGTGCAAACTTCCCCGCGTGTCGCTAGTGCAGCTGCAGGGCACGCGCAAGCTGCACGACATCATGATTAAATCTATTCACTCATCTGCGCCCGTGCGGGCCTCGCAGCCCCCTGCTACGCGCGCCACCTGTGCCCCGCTGCAGCGCTGCGCGCCCTGCCGGCCCAGGCACCATTCTCGGCTGGCCGCAGCCTACGTGCCCGTGCCCCCGACGCAGCAGCCAGCGGTGGTGCCGAAAACAGGGGCTGCCAACCACGCGGGCGGGCCCGTTGTCAGCGCAGACATCACTTGGCACGAGGGCGGCGTTCCATCGCAACAGAAGGAAGAGCTCCTCGGCCAGCGCGGCTGCGTGCTCTGGTTCACTGGGTGCGTGAAATGCGCTACAGGACAACGCAGCATGTGCACCAGCGAGGCCTCTGCCACATTCACCGAGGTTCCGCGTGGCCTTGCAGGATGTGGCCAACCAGCGCGCCCACGCATCATCGCGCCCGACTGACCTGCTCGACCGCCCACCGCCCCACCCGCCGCCCCGCCCACCGCCCTGCAGGCTGAGTGGCAGCGGCAAGTCGACTGTCGCCGCCACCCTGGAGCACACCCTCCACGGCCTGGGATGCGCAACCGCCCTCCTGGACGGCGACAACGTGCGCCACGGCCTCAACAGGGATCTTGGATTCAGCGCCGCCGACCGCGAGGAGAACATCCGCCGCATTGGGGAGGTGGCCAAGCTATTTGCGGATGCCGGCGTCATCACCCTCGTGTCCTTCATCTCCCCCTACAGGTGAGCAGGTGGATAAGACGGTGCAAGATTGTGGCCGGGCAGTGCTGGGGGGAAAGGAGCGCGAACAGGGTTGGGGCACGCGTCTGCCCTGCCCATGCAAACCAGGCGCCGACGCCCTCGTGAGGCGCCTCTCCTCTCCCCACAATGCGTCGAACCGCACCTAACCCTGCAATCCGCACCTCAGGCAGGACCGCGACCGTGCCCGCGCCCTGCTGGCCCCCGGCCGCTTCCTGGAGGTGTTCATGGACACCCCCCTGGAGGTGTGTGAGCAGCGCGACCCCAAGGGCCTCTACAAGAAGGCCCGCGCGGGGCAGATCAAGGGGTTCACAGGTGCGCAGGGTGCCTGGATGCATACCACTGGGCACACACAGCGCGCCTTGCCTGAGACGCCTCATTATCTTGTTGTGGTGTGGTCCAATGCTGCGCTACTTGCCTTCCTGCTTGCATTTCCCTGCAGCCAGTCCCTGCAACATCATGAACTTGTTTCCTGACAACAAGCGCCCTATGCGTACCCCTCCCTCTCCTTCCAGGCATTGACGACCCGTATGAGGCCCCTGAGCACGCCGAGGTGGCGCTGCCAGCCAGGGACGCCAGCGGCCGCCCCTACCAGCCCCAGGAGCACGCGGCCAGCCTGCTGCGCATGCTCGTGCAGCGCAACTTTGTCAGCGCGGACGTCCTCGACCACGTGCACCCCAACATGAACGGGCACGGCGCCACCATCAGTGACGCCACCATCAACGGCGCTTACGTCCAGCGCTCGCCATCCCCTGCAGCGCGCTGATGCAACTTCCCCACTTGGGCTGTTTCCTCCAATGCTTGTACCATCAACATCCCACGCCGCTCGCAGCTCGCAATCCGATGACAATGCTGCAGAAACTGCAGCTTTGCAACGGCTTCACTCCGTCCTCTGCAGCGCACGTTAGCTGATTCCACCACTCTCGCTCACGCGCACACAACACTCTCACGGGTCATGGATGCATGTGCTCGCTCACCTCCACCGGCTCTCCTGACCGACGGAACCCATACGTTATCACACCAGTGCCCACCTTGCACTGCCGTGCCCTTGTGCGCCCTTGGCAGCCATTGTTTGCGCAGACCTCAACACTTGCATGCATTCCCTGGGTACACGAACCTGCCTGCCTTCAGTCGAAACAATTTTCACTTTTTTGCCCCGGACTTGCGGACAGGTCGTTGCAGTAAGGATTACTCATTACACGGTGGGCAAGATAGCGGATTGAACGCACAGCAGCCACCAAACCCAGCAATAATCGCGCCATGCATACAGCATCCACACATGCACGCCCTGCAGACAGCGAGCCTGGCAGCCATCACTTGCTTGGCACCACCTCAAAGGCCTCCGGCGTGATGAACACCGCCTGCAGGCGGGCCGGAAACATCACCAGCGGGGAGAACGGGGGTGGGTGGTTGGGTGCGGGGAGGGACGGGGGTTGGTGCAGCTTCCTCAGGGCCGCGTTGCAAAGGGTCAGTGGGTCGGGACCGTGCTTCATCTAGTCACTAACTGCTGGAGAGGCTGGAACAAGCCAGGCCACTTGCAGCTTGCCGCTGTGATGGCCCTGCCCCCGTGCCCCGCGCGCCGCCGCACCTGCACCAGGTTCCCTGCAAACACGCGGCCGTGGATGGCGTCCTTGGCGGCCTGCGCGCCCTCCGGGCCCTCAAACTCAACATACGCCTTGCCATAAGGGCCGCTGTACATGAGTGAGGCGGAGTCTGCGGGGTTGGCAGGCCGTGGGACCTTGATCCCCGCCACGCGGCCATGGCGGCGGCACTCGTCCCGCAGGTCCTCCACCACCTGGGGGGGGGGGGGCAAGGGGGGGG